TACTTCCCCCATTCTGGCTTCCTTGCTTTTGTATCAGTGCAGCTCTTCTCTTTAATTGAGTTTTGCCTCTGATTTAATATCATGTCAGACCCAGAATTACAGGAGAGGGCAGAGGGAGAAGGGAGAGGCTCCTTTTCGCTTGGTAGTTCTGTATCAGATTTTATTGTCGGTCAGGGGGTCTTGACTTTCCAATTATTCTTCATTAGTCAAGAAGTTTCAGCAGCAGCTTCACATTCAAAAGAAAAGCATAGGGATTTATTTTAACATGGGCATTTTTAGAACTGCGATAATTTGTCCCTTTTCCAGATGTTGTTTTTTTTATCCAGATATAGATAGATAATTGTGTCTTGGTGTCTCTCATTGCTGTGCTGCAGTCCATATTTCCCAAATTAGACATTAAAGACTTAACCTAAATGAATAAACTATTTGAATATGTTTAACTCGTTTAACTATGACTTGTTTAGCAGAGTAACCTTGGCTTTAGTTAAAGAAAGTCCAATAATAATTCAGTTTAATCTTGCAATTTGTGTAGTGTCATTTAGGTTTGTGCATGTTAAGATGTGAAAAAAGAAAACACAGCCTACTCCTTCATAAGTGTGTTTTCAAAAGAAGCCCTAACCTATGGCTAAAAACGAAGCATTGCCATGGACGACTGCACCACTGTGACACTGCACTGTCTGTCACTGTGTCCTCTCCCTTTTGCTGACTCCAATGCAACCCAAAGCTGTCCCTTGATTTGATTTGGTATTCTCAGTTAGGTTGCTAGGGTCAGCTCTGCTCCCAGTCTCAGCAAGAGGCCGGACCGCAATGACAACAGCAAGACACTGCAGGAGCAAAGACGGTGCCAACTTCCCAAGGAGAAGTTGTCAATGGCCGTGCCCTAGCCAAAGGGCAGAATGAAAGGGATTGTAAACGTAGTAACCCACTTTCTAAATGTCAAATTGTGGTATCTAACATTCTAAGGTACTTTGATTGGGTCTTTGAGAGCATTGTCACCAATATGTCTGCATATGTTTGCATTTGTGCAAGCATTCACCTTGTTCTTCTGTGATCCCATTGACCCTTCATTGTCCTGTGGCTTCTCACTCTGATCCTGCCTGTCTCCATGTGACGTCTGATCTCCCAGATCGCTGCGTCACAGCGAGGTGCTCAGCTGTCTCCCTCGCGGGATGCCTGACCAGCTCGCACTAATCTCCACACTGAGCTATATTTACACAGACACATAATACAGATTATTCTCACCTCTATGCGGCTGCAGATAAGTGTGTGAACATGCAATACATACCATGTGTGAACCTTATGCTTATTTATTGATTTGTTATCTTTTGTTTTGCCCCTTTGCTAGTTTATATAGCAGAGACATGATGTAAGAATTAGGCAACATAGACTCCTCCCTGATCTAAAGCCTCATGTCAACACCAGTTGGAGCTGTACTGGGTTACTGGGTTAATACCATCCGGAAAATCCTTTTGGCTCACCAGGGGTTGCAGACAGTGCACAGGTGGAGTAACAAGATGGATTTGTATTCCCCTAAGGCAGTGGTTCTCAAAGTGGGGGGCGCAGAGGCATGAGACCAGGAGGAAAAATGGTTATATATATATAATAAAAAAAAATAAAAAAATCATAATTTCAAAAAGTATTGATTCAAAAATAATATGATGCAGTACTATTACGTCTGGGTCTCTGTGTTTCATTAAAGCTCGGCTCTGTGTGTGTGTGGAACGAGCCATTTTGTGTGCGAGAGAGCGTACCGGAGATCGTAGTTGTTAGCTTCTGGTGCTAGCGAGCTACGCTAACGGATATAAGGAGTTTTTTCAACAACAAAGTGGAGGAGAGTCCTCTCCTGTCAGACTGAGAGACTCAGTGAGCTAAAGGACTCTCAGTGTTATCTCAGTGGGTCTCAAATGTTTTGGTCACCATTAATGTAAACAATTATTTCTGAGGCACACGTTTATATGATCATTATAGTTATAAAAAAATAAGAGAATAAATGAAAAACAGGTATGAAATACTTTATGACAGTAAAACAAGAATAAAGTTTAAAAGGGTGATTTGTAAAATATCCATAAAGAAAAAGTAAATCTGTTAACAGTTCTGTTTCAAATGGGTGTTGAGAGATGTATCCATAGATCTCTTCATTTTGCTCTCAAAGTGCACCAGATTGATGCTTTTAACTTCAATATTTAAAAATAAATCCCCTGCTTACACCTATATGCCGTGAGCTGATTATCGAGCCTTCATTGTAACAGTCACGGGTACACTGTGTGTGCGTGGGGAGTGTTGCAGTAGAAAATTCCACTGTAGCGCCCGGTACATTAATGGGAAACCCTAAATGTTTGAGCACCCTCTATGAAACATCAAGCTACCGCACAGCAGCCCCAAAAGAAATATCTGGCGCTGCCACTGAGCCTGACTATTTGTGTTGGGGGGGGGCCTGACTTTTTTTTTTCTCCAAAGGGGGGGCCTGACAGAAAAAGTTTGAGAACCACTGCCCTAAGGAGATACTCGATCATAAAAATGTGTCTTTCCAACAAATCTTTGACAATACTAGTGCCCAAGCTTGTCAGCTTTGCGCGCGCTGAGCACCGCTGCCTCCAGTCACTGCTGTGGCTGAATGATACATGGTCGGCCCTTTTTAATGGTGCGTGAATTTGGTCAAGTCAGTCAGAATGACATACAGACCTTAGGTGCAGAGCTGCATCAGGCCAGCTCTCATTGTGTCCTCCTTCCTGCAGTTTGCCACCTGAGGCACGCCTATAGAGCAACATTAGGATTTATACCACTGGGAGTGGGAGGGAAAACACGGTAAATCTGGCTCACAGGACACTTTATTGCTGAGGGAGCAAGGCCAGCAGAGCGATGAATCCTTCTGTTCACTCATTGCACTAGAGGGCTGCACATGGTGTATTCATATAAACATGTTTGTGTGAGGCAGAGCACTGAAAGTTCAGCTAGTAGAACTCAACGAAAATGTCACACTGCACTGCAGTGATTATTAGGGAATTATTGGAAAACCCTGCAGAATAAATATGATTGGTAACTGTTACCTGAGCATTGCTGCTTTTATTGCATGGAAGCATCTACTGGATTTATATCATTTAGTTTTACACCCTATTATACTATATTTATCAACATTTCTCATCTACAGTTACTATATAACTTACCATCAAACCTAGATTAGATCTTTTCGCCGCCTCTTTTCCAAACATTGGGTCGTGCTGCTCAAGTTTTGACTATGAAGCACATCTTGCACATCTTCCGGCGCAGACTGAAAACTCATCTCTTTCGACTCCACTTCGAGCGATAGAATTACTAACAAAGAATTGCTAACAAAGCACTTTTATACTAATAAAGGACTGGCTTATCTAAAGCTAGTGGAGTAGCATTGAAATGTTTTAGCTCTATGAAACCTGATGTACTTATATGATTCTGTTTTCTTCAGTTTGTGTCTTGTTGGTCGAACGCACTTATTGTAAGTCACTTTGGATAAAAGCGTCAGCTAAATGCAATGTGATGTAATGAAGCGAATGTATAAAGATTTGATGAATCAATCACTTGCTAATCTGGGCTGCTTATCAATGTAGTAACAGAAGATGGTTTAAAACAATCACACGTAGCCTTGATTTTGTGGTTTCCCAATGTTTACTTTCCCTAAAGTTTAAGCAGCTCAATATGGACCTTGAAGATGTTTTGATGAAGGGAGAATTGTTTATTCAGGTTTTCCATATCTTTTCAGTATCTTCAGAGGAATATAAAATAGTGTTTGCTGCTCGGGGCTGATGGTGTTGTTGGGAGAAAAAGAGCAAGACTGGCTGGCTTATCCAACTCTCAGCCACTGATCTGTTGGTCTTTCACTCGGAGAGCGTAAGCCTCACTAAAACCTGCCCTGTTTTGTGTGTTTGAGCGTGTACAGCCCACGTGCTTCACTTAGGGCGAGCAGAGCTGCTCCCTGTTCAGGATTATTCCTCTGGGAACAGGCTGAGTCACGCCACAGAAGAACAGAAAGAGAAACATGCAGGGAGTAGAGGGGGCTGGATGGAGATTGTGCTTTTGAGATGGGTGATGCTGAAAAAGAAAAACATTATAATCACTTTGATCATTGATTTGTCCCAGTTCACATTTGCATCTCAGTTGATGATGATCTATAGCTATATCTACTAAATACAGAAACCCACGCGTCTGTGAGTCTCTTGTGTCAGAGGCGGTCTGATCTTTAATCCGCAATACAGTATTTCCTGTAGGGACGTTCATGCATCAGTGAACTATTTTGTGTCTCTCACTTGTCAATCACTTCTTTTAGATTAGATTCCCCTCTAATTCCAAAATTGACAAATACAATGCTTTTCATAGAATAAAAAATTGAAACATAACCGGTGCATTGAAACAAACACAAGATCAGCTATTCATTATTCACATTATCAAGTAACAAAACAAGGACGGACACTCAGAAATGTCCATGTTTAAAGTGTGGTTTTGATTATATAGACAACAGTCTGCAGAGAGATTCAATAGTTGAATCTCATAGTCAGTAATATTCAGGATATTTTCAGCTCCTTTGAGACTCTTTCAAAATGAGGTTAACCCACTTTGCGGTATATTTTCATCTGGTTTGATGCTAAATTTAGCTCATTGAAATGTTGGAGCATGGATTTAACTTTCTGGATTTTTGGCGTTTCAGCTGACGCCCCAATTTAGAGCGCCCTACAGCGAGTGTTCAGGCAAGAGTTCAGAGTTTAGATCAAGGGCACTCTGACGAGGCATTGTGCTGTTCGTCATTTCACATTATCTGTTGTAGTTAGAGAGGCAAAGCTCTGTGACAGGAAGGCCACTGCTGTGTATACATATTTGCATATCTCTCTGAAAATACTTATCTCACTAGATAACACTGACAGGGTCACAGACAATGGCATTCAGAAGGACACGGGACGGTCTCTATAATCATTGTTTTTGTCCCTTTTCTCCCCTCTCATTGTATTTTCTGCATTTTTTTATTTTTTTAGGTGGTCTTGGTGCGGTGGAATGAACCCTTCCAGAAACTGGCTACCTGTGACACAGATGGAGGAATCTTTGTCTGGATCCAGTATGAGGGCCGCTGGTCCGTGGAGTTGGTCAATGACCGTGGAGCCCAGGTAAAATACATTACACAGAAATGGGACGTGAACAAAATGTGTCATTTAAAGTGCATTTTTCCTTTGCATTTACACAGAATATGGAATGCATGTTGAGAAATACAAATTGTATTCATGAACATGAGTGCATATATAAAGCAAGTAGATGCACAATAGAGAACAGTAATATGGGTAAAATACATATCAACAACAGCAAATTAACAGAAAAAGTTTAGATTTACAGATAACACTTTATTTGACACTTTCACTATACTGTCACTCAGTTCAAGGGTATTATTTATACTGACATTAACAGGCAGTCAATATTTCAATATTTAAATGTTCTGACAGTGCTGGTCACAAAACTGGAATGAAACTAGGTGTAAATGTCTTGCTAGCAGCACCTAGAGGCCGTTCTTCTCTTAACATCTGTTTGGAGATTTTCATGTTGCCATCATTAGAGCCCTGCTACTAAGCATACTGGGCCTCCTAAAACATTTGAGTGTTGTTAAATATGACCAGTTCCTAATTCTTGCTATTCATATATTGCATTTTTACAGTAAACATACATTAGGGTTGTTTAACAGTCAAAAGATAATCAATTGACTATATTCACGGTATGAAGAAAACTCCCCAAAAATTGAAAGGAAAAAAAACGCTATTTATTATTAAACGAAATTATTATCTAAATATTCGACAAGGAATTTTTCTGTGGATCGACTTTTTGATGAACCGAGGAACTGTTTCAGTGCTAAATAACAGAATGACAGTTACAATGGCATCAAAGGCTGTTTGATTTACACAACTGTTTTTTTAATCATAAAGCTAGCATCTCATTATCATCATTCCTTACTCAACTCATGTATCTGGGCCCCTATAGGTGAGTGACTTCACCTGGTCCCATGATGGCACCCAGGCTCTCATCTCCTACCGCGATGGCTTTGTCCTGGTGGGGTCAGTCAGCGGGCAGAGACACTGGTCCTCCGAGATCAACCTGGAAAGCCAGATTACCTGTGGGATCTGGACCCCCGATGACCAGCAGGTAACACGCACACATCCCGCAGAATTGTAACAATTCACCCTACCACTTTACAAGCCTTTGATTTGAATAGCTTCAGAAGTTTTAGGTTGTCATTTGCCACTTTAAGTATGTGGACTTGTCATTCAGAAGGCTGCGACCGGCCCAGAGGGAGATCATCTCTGAGTGACAGCAACCCTGCTCTGTCTTGAAAGTGTTATTTTTTTGTTAGGCTATGTTTATGCTTCCATGCTGTTAAATTGTCATCTCAGGTTGGACATCATCAAACTTCAGTCCGGATATATGTCTTTTTTCACCCCTTCATCCCATTTATGTCTCTTTCCCCAAGTTGTTGTCCTTGTGATATGCACTTCTCTTAACTCTATCTGTCATCTCTTGTCTATTTCTAAGTGTAGGTTCCTTTCCATCTTCTGCCTTTAAGTCCAAGTTAGAGTGTGTAATTTTTTCCTCTTTATTCCTCTCCCTTAAAACCCTTTACTATTTCTCTCTAGGTGTTGTTCGGTACTGCAGATGGACAGGTGATAGTGATGGACTGCCATGGGCGCATGCTGGCCCACATTCTGCTGCATGAGTCGGATGGCATCGTCAGCATGTCCTGGAACTATCCCAGTTTCCTGGTGGAGGACAGCAGTGAGAGCGACACAGATTCTGACGACTACTCTCCACTGCAAAGTAAGCTGCTCAGGGTTTGATTTAAATTGACTGCTCTTTGTGGCTTGTTCAGACACACACACAGCGAAAAATGCAATTTACATCATGTCTACAGTAGACAACTGAATAATATGATGTAGGATTGGACACTAATAAAGGTTTACATAGTAAGGATGTACCAATACCAAACATCTAGTAGTCAATACCAATACTAGTTAATTCCACAATTATTGATAACCAATTTGAAACCATGTTAAATAAATGTATCGGCCTGAATAATTTAAAAGAGGGTCTTGCTGTTTAATACGTAAGTACTTCTGTGCAAAATACATAGGACCATAAGTTACTCTACCTGCCTCTTACCGCCATCTTTTACAACTCCATCCATTCTTCCTCAGGCTCTTAGTCCAAATGGAAGGGGGAAAGATTTCCAATTGGGGGCACAAGGTTAGGACACAAGTTATGGCTGGTAGGGTTTCACTATATTGTGATTAGTAGCCTCCCCTCCCTAGTGTTCTCATGAATATTTAGGTCGCAGAAACAGGTGTACACATGAACATAAACTGTGCCTTGTTTCTGTATCGATATTAGATTCATAATAAAATAATATACTATATGAATGTGATGTAAAAATGATCATGAAAGTAGTGGATTGGATCACCTACATGTTCAACTGAGTGCCTCTGAACACTTTTGATGGTCTTTGGCACAATTACATTTCAATCCTGAGATGCCTGCTTTACCCTGTTAGTATTACGCAGTGTAGTAAAATGTGTTCTTAAATAAGGTAAACACATTTTATAGTTTGGAGTATACTCTTGGGTTGTCGATGTATAGGAGGTATTAATTGAAGCTCATCGTTAGAAGGGTAGGTCATTTGTGATGCTGATCTCACCGGCGATCCGCATCATTTATTAAACTTCATAAGTGAGAAGATGACTCTTCCAATATTTCCCACTTCTCTACCAGTTGTGAAGACGGGGAGGGAGGGACGCATTAAAACAAGAGAGTGTGACCAAATGGAAGATGGGTGGGGGGGCTGCGGTTAAAGATGGAGGGCAAGAGGTGGAGAAGGAGCTCTCCTGACAATGGGCTGACGCTGCCACTAGACCTCCTGTTTGCTTTTAATGCTGCAGTAGCTGTTGTCATAACAGCAGCAGATGTCACAGTGTAAGGGGGTGCGTCACCAGGCTCTGTGTGCGACACACTTACATTATGGACAATCAATGGTTCTACTTGGAAAAGGAAGTGTGTTATCTACAAATAAAATATGAATTCTTTGTAGTGTCTAAACACAAAACTTATACATTTATGACTTTATTTTCAATTGTTTCTTCTTTAAACATAATCCACTCCATTGGAATATGTTCACCTTTTTAATGTCCCGATCGAACCCTAGTAGGCTACAAAATACAGAATGTTCTGCCTTAATCTTTATGTGTTGGCGTGAAGCCTTTTAAAAAACAAAACAACAAGGGCGTTGTAGCAACAATCTAACAATACCATAAACTACAATTATACTGTATAACGACATTATAAAAAAGGCAGTTTTTTTAGGTAAATATTAGGGATGCGCCGATCGCCAATTTCGGGGCCGATCGCCGGAATCAGTATCGGCCGATACCGATCGCCGATCCGATCAAGTGGGCGGGGCCTAAATGGAAGATTTAAACATCACTTTAAATCTTCCATTTAAAGTGATGTTTAAAACTCAGTTAATGGGGCTCATTCACTGGAGCTTCCACAAACAACAATCAACTTAATTATTACATTCAAATGATGTACATTATTCAAGTTTACATTCACTTTGGAGAATAACACGGGAGAAATTAGCGGAAGCGCTCTCTCCTCTCTCTCTCCCCCCCCCTCTCCCCCTCTCTCCCTCCTGACAGCCTGTCAGTATCTCATGCAGCTCACTGATCCAGTAATGAGTGACCCGACAGTGAAGAATACATATATTTATAATAACTAGTTTAGCTTGTTCCAGAGGTAGATCAAATAGCTAAGTAGGTCTAACTCTTGTGTGTTTTGCTCCGCTCACCGGTCCGTCACAGCGGGTGGAGCTGCAGGATTTCTGCTTCACACACGTTGCATTCCGCTATTTTACTGTCTTTTTCGGACACCTTAAAATACTGCCAAACCGGGAAGCCATTTTGGCGAGCTTGTTTTGCCGCATACAGAGAAAAGTGTCATGTATTTTACGTCATGCGATCGGCTCTCGCGATCGGCATGTTTAGAGAGCACCGATCGATCGGTAGAGAGTGAGTATCGGCCGATCTCGATCGGTGACCGATCGATCGGAGCATCCCTAGTAAATATGAACTGCTTTCTTGGCTTCAGTCTAAAAAACGGAAGTGGAAGTTTTACGTGTAAAAATTAAACATTCTGCACAGCCCTGGCTGTTTATGCTACTGTTGACATTAGAGGGAAAAAAAAAAGGTTTGAATAGTTGCCAAATAAACATTTACACCCCACCTGTAGACTCTCCTCCAACCAACCTCCTTTTCAGATTTTTATGAAGCATATAGTTAATTTAATCCTAAAATAACTCACCTTTTTTAGTGCCCTTTGCTGGCAGCCTACAGACGTGTTCGATGGCAGTATTTAAAAACAGTCAACGGTGAGCCTGAGAAAATCTGGTGGCCAATGCCAATAGATTGATTACTGGTATTTTACTGGGACGTGAGCAGTCACACAATAGTAGAGTTGCATGTGGTTAGCCCTCCAACCTCCTGGCTGCTTCCACCGTGTACACCAGCCCACGTAACAGCCTCATTTTATTGGTTCCTGTTTTCCTTTTTTGCCTCCTTTTTTCTCTTGAGCTTAATTAGTCCCAGTTGCTAAGGCTGTATTGGTGAGGGTCTGTCCTCCTCTTGCTGTGCTATTTTTTCCCTTCCTTTCACCGTGGGTTATGTGGTAAAGCTGAAAAGTGCTTGCCTGATTATGCTCTAACTCGATAATTAAACTAATTGAACCAGCCAATAGTAATTGATTGGCCTCGATAGAAATTATCTCTCAAGTCGAAAACATGACTAAGACACCAGGCCGCCTGTTCCTCTGCCTTTCCAAATCTCTGTATCATGATATATAATGATGACCCATTATCACTACCCAACACCACACTCTGCATTTACAAAAGAAGCATATGTCTCATTTAATGTTAAAACCATTCTGAATGGATTATTATTATTAAGAAGGAGTAACTAAGCCTTGGCTGAAATCAAAAGCAGCAGTGGATAATTCATTTGTGTTGGTATTTGGGTCATTGCAGGACTAGGAGAGAGGACAGACTCAAGGCTGTTTTAATGGAAAACGTATGGGTGGTTGTCTGAAGGTGTTCTATTTATAGCAGGTTACGGAAAATGCCACTTGTTTGCAGCTATAGGTGCAGCAGGGAGATGTGCTGGGCCTGTGTTTGTGAAATTGTGTATTCTCATTAAATGTACACAGTGGAAACTCACTGACAAATATGTACAACTGCCAATTAACTGTCCTCGTCTGTCTCTTAATAGCCTCCAACTACCTCTAGAGTAAATAAGAACACACAAACACACGGGCGGTATTTTTTAGCCATCTCTGGAAATGCAAGTAAATAACTCATGGAAAATGCCCAATGTGATGCCATTATTTTGCTTGTTTAGTCTGGGCAACACTCCAAAACCTAAATATGGTCAGTCTACTATCAAGACAATGAAAATGAGCACATCCTCATATTTGAGAAGCTGCAACTGGGCAATGTTTTGCAGTTTCCCTTGAAAGAAGAATCAATGATTAAAAAGAGTTCACACCATTGATTTTTTTCTTTCTTGACAAATCGATGTATTGACAAATCAATGAAGACCCTCCCTTGTTACATGTCAGGTTACATTGGGGTTGTAATAAGTTATGTTCCTTACTCTCTGTTCTGCCATATAAAGCTAAACCCCCAGATAAAGTTGACATAAAATAAATTGTTGCATTTTATTCAGTGCACAGATGTGTAATTGTAACCCTTCCCTTGATTTAGTTTATTTACATCCACTATACTTAAATGTGGAAACTTGTTTTATTCCTTTACTGTTGAAACCGTGTACTTTAAATTGTTACCACTTTGTTATGTTGCTTTCTCAGTTCCTGTTCAATATGTTTAAATTGTCCTTTATCTCTTCATAGTGCACAGTCATAAACCACTGCTGACCGTCAGCTTCACATCTGGAGACATCAGCCTGATGAACAACTACGACGACCTCTCTCCCACCCTCATCCGCACCGGGCTGAAAGGTGTGCAATAATGTTTAATTCAATGATATCTCAAGGATTTTATTTATTTGGTAAATGTTGTTAGCATGTGTTACTCTGCATTACATGAATTTTTCTCCTGTGCCTCGTGTTACAGATGTGGTGGTGCAGTGGTGCTCGCAGGGGGACCTCCTTGCGGTGGCCGGGATGGAGAGGGCCCTCCTCCCCTCCGACCCCTCCTGTCCCCCCACCAGGAGCGCCCTTGTTAAGTTCTACAACGTTCAGGGTGAACACATCTACACACTGGACACACCAGCACAGGTGAACTTTAACAGGGCCAAACCTGAGTCACATTACTCAGAATTGTATGTGTTTGTTATTTGCCTTTGTCAAGATTGGACTCTATACTTATATGTCACAGCCATACCAATTAGATCCCTTAATATTTACATCTTTCATGCTTTATCTTAATGATGTATTGCAGTATGTAGTGTTGTAAATGTGACAAAACAATCTTATCCTTTCTCCCATGTGTCTCCTGTCACCCTGCAGCGCCCCATCACTACGCTGTGTTGGGGGCACCGGGACTCCCGTCTGTTCTTGGCATGCGGCCCGGCGCTCTACGTAGTGCGAGTGGAGCACCGCGTTGCCAATCTGCAGCTACTCTGCCAGCAGGGCATCGCCACAGCAGTGAAGGAGGAAAAAGATATTGCCAAGCTCACCATGCCTTCCCGCCTCTGTTTTTACGTCACTACTGCTTTTGTACCCACCATTAAGGTAACACCGAACAGGGGGTGAAACCATAACATACCTACTTAATGACTTGCATTCCGTCAGAGATCTCACCTTCTGAGATAAGCCTTCATAACAAATACACCCCTTTCCTTTTCAGCCCCCCATCCCTGATCCGAACAACATGCGTGATTTTGTGAGCTACCCGACAGCTGGAAATGAGCGTCTGCACTGTACAATGAAGCGAACAGAGGATAACCCTGAGGTGGGGGGGCCCTGCTACACTCTGTACCTGGAGTACCTCGGGGGTCTGGTGCCCATCCTAAAAGGCCGGCGAATAAGTAAACTGCGTCCAGAGTTTGTCATCATGGACCCTAAGACAGATGGGAAAACAGGTAAAACTGCGCTTTCTTCATATTGGTAACTTCACAGAGCAAAACCAAGAACAGGTTCCTGATTAGAGTGGTTGGTCTAATCAGTCAGACACAAAAACAACATTTGTTTGAGTATTAAAATATTTGTCAATTGTTTTCTGTCGATCGACTTATTGATTTGTTGATAAATCTGTACCTGTTAGCATAAAACCCAATGTTTGTATGTGTAACTGTAAGAGTAAAACAAAACTGCTAAATGCATTCCTCAGACACATCGGCCTGCTCCAGTACTTTTCCAGTTATTTGAGTTCCTTGACGTGGCTATGTTTTAGTCACATAGGGCAGACTGCGCCCATGTTAATTAAAAGCTGTTTAATGGGGGCTCTGATGGCCCCTGGATTCCTCATAAATCAACCCGCACCCTCTCCATGCAGTGATAAATGAAGCCAGCCATGAAATGGTTCCAGCCCATTCACACTTTAATGTCCATCAAATAAATTAACTTGACCTAAACTGGAACAGCAGTGGTTCACTGACTCCATAAGAATGAGGCAAAATCGAATAATTGAAACTACTGAAACAAAGATTTGGACCAAATGGGATTAAATATTTATCTTTAGAAATGTTGAACAATGCTGAGCCATATAGTTAGTTTTATACAAATCCATGAGGAACATGCCTTTATCCAGGTTGTTGGAGAGTAGTAGATGTCCTACAATGTCATCTGTATTTTCAGAAATGCCAAAGTAGAGAGATCATCTTTATTTGTATATTTGTTTTTCCTTCTTCTGTTCCTGATTTAGTTCTCAAGTTAATCAGATGTCATTAAAAATGAGTGAACAGTGAACACACATTATAGCATCTCATTAAATATTTTTTGTTGAAATTAACACATCTACAATCCATTTACTCAAAATGTACCCCTCTTTTTCGTCCCCCATCTTGTCTTTTCTCCTCAGACGAGATATACGGCAACAGTCTGATATCTGCCATGATTGACAGCTGTAACTGCTCTGACTCCAGTGACATTGAGCTGAGTGACGACTGGGTTGGCAAGAAATCTCCAAAGATATCCAGAGGGAGCAAATCCCCCAAACTGCCCAGGTAACCAGAAACCTGTGTGTACTGTAGCACGTCATCTTTATTTGATGTTTATTTTTTTCGTATACAAAATTCATATTTGCTGTACAAGGGGCCATCTGCTCATCAGTATATATTAACATGCACACAAACACTGACTCAGTATTTTGCCCAGGGACACTTTGACATTTTGACCGAAGGACCTACAGATTGGTGGAAGGTTGTTTAGTTCTCTCTACACAAAATGAAATGTATTAAGGGGGTTTGGCTTACATGTTACACAATTCTTTTTAAATAAACATTTAATTTCCCACATATTAGGCAGTTATTCAGCATCGGCTTAAATGCTTCTTCGACAGCAGAGAGCTTTTAGATATCTTAGCTTCCTCCAACAGCTTAAAAACACAAGAATGAACGTTTAGCTTTTAATAAATGTCTATATAAAATATGTAATATCAGAAGTGAGATTATTTAAGTTTCATCCCAGCAATTATTGATAACTTCCTTCATATATCATTATGTGTAACAAATCTGCACTGTTTTTGGTTCAATGCATGCCTAAACCTTTTTATTTTCTATTTACTACCTTCTCTGTAGAGACTTAGTTTGTCCCTTTTCCAACAGGATCAACATTGATCCCAGAAAATCCCCCAAACTTTCCCGTGCTACACAAGAGATCTCCAGGTCACCACGGTTACCCATACGGAAACCCTCAATTGGGTCACCCAGTCTAACACGGAGGGAATTTCCTTTAGATGACATCACTCAGGTAACAGTAAAATCATTTGAGCTTAATTTGTTATTTTCCTCTGGATCAGTGCTGTGTATTGAAGTCTATGCACAGGATGAGTGTGCATACACTTTCAAGCACAACAAATACAATACAGGTTTAAGAAATGACATACATAATATATAAAATCATTCTCTTTGTGCCCATCTTGCAGCAAAATTACCTTGCTCAGGTCACATCCAATATTTGGGGAACAAAATTCAAGATTGTGGGGCTTGCCGCTTTCTTGCCAACTAATCTTGGTGCAGGTAACCCATCAAAAACTTTTCAACTAGCATTTAGCAATAAATTAATAAATACATTTAAATAAGTCCGATGTCTTTTTCTCTGGTCCTCTCCCCTTAGTCATCTATAAGACAAGCCTCCTCCATCTGCAGCCCCGACAGATGACCATCTACCTGCCAGAGGTGCGTAAGATCTCCATGGACTACATCAATCTGCCCGTCTTCAGCTCCAACGTCTTCAGTGAGGATGAAGATGACCTGCCTGTGTCCGGCCCCGCTGGGAGCACCGATGACAACCCGCCCTGCACCGTCAACATCCCTATTGCCCCCATCCATAGTCCAGCCCAGGCCATGTCCCCTGCCCAAAGCATTGGTCTGGTCCAATCACTCCTAGCCAATCAAAATGTTCAGCTGGATGTCCTAACGAATCCCACAGCAACCCCTGCTGGGGCCACAGCTGGTGGGTCAGACCAAAGCCAAGACACCCTCCTGACAGCCCAGTACACCGTGCCCACCAGGTACTCCAGCCCCGGGCAGGTCATCTTTGGGGGACTAGAAATCGGACGCCTGATGGTGGGACCTCCACCTTCTCATCATCCTTCACAACCACAACAACAATCAAGCCACCATCCACAGCAGCAGCAGCAGCACCAACAACAACAACACCAACAACAACAACACATTCAGCCCCACCACCAACAACAGCAGCAGCACTCACTCCAACAGCAGCAGCAGCATCAGCTCCAACAACAGCAGCAACTCCAACAGCAGCAGCAGCAGATGCTTCAGCACCAACACTTACAGCAGCAGCAGCAGCTTCAGCAGCAGCACATTCAGCAGCAACTCCAACACATTCAGCAGCAGCATCAACATCAGCTCCAGCAGCAAATACAACAACAGCAACACATTCAACAGCAGCAGCAACACATTCAGCAGCAACTGCAGCAACAAATGCACCACCAACATCAGACGCAGCATCAGATGCAACAACATCAGCAGCAGCAGCAGCAGCAGCAGCAGCACCAGCAGCACCATCATCCACTTCAGCAGCCTCTCCAAATTCAGATCCCTGTTACCTCCATGTCATCCGGACAGACTTCAGGTGCAGCGATGCTCCAGCAGGGGGCGCTGCAGATACAGATCCCTCATCCACCTGCTGATTTAGTGGTTGAGAGAGCATTGGGTGTTGAACACGAGCACCTCCTGAAAATCAAAAGCATGCGGCAAACTCAACAGCTGGCTGAAGGCGATACATTGGTGTTTAGTGCCCCTCTGGAGCTCAGTAAGATGAACCCCCCGCCCCCCTACCCCGGGACAGTGGCTGCCGCTGTAGCAGCTGCAGCAGCTGCTGCCGCCTCAGCATCCGCTGCAGCCTCCAGTCTTGCATCTGGATCAGTAGGGGGCCCCAGTGGAACTCCTCCCCCTGGAGAACTGTCACTAAAGAAGGGCGAGTTCTCACTTTATCCTTCAGGTCAGCAACAAGCTCAGTACCCCACACCCCTGGGATATGAGAGGATAACAACATTTGACAGCAGTGGCAATGTGGAGGAAGTATGTCGTCCTCGAACACGCCTTGTCTGCAATCAGAATGTGTACACACTCCAGGGACCTGGCAGCTCCGCCACTCTCAGGGTCACCTCCTCCTCAGCTGACAAGAAGAACCAGCTTCCCTACGCCTCTGCCACACTCAACAGACTCACCGCACCTCGCTATTCCATACCCAGCGGAGACCCGCCCCCGTACCCTGACCCGGCTAATCAGAATAGTGCTGTTGGCAGGAACCCTGGACAGAGGCTTGACAGCAGTTTGATCCACGCCACTCTCAGGAGGAACAGCCGAGAGGCCGCTCTCAAAGTCTCTCAGATGCTGGAGGCGCCCAGACCACTGCCTCCGAAGGCTAAGAACAGTAGTAGTAGTGCACTAGCAGCCTCCTTCCAGCAGAGGGTGCCAACAGCCTTATACACGTGCAGTCAGTGTAGCAGTGGATCTAGTGTCGGAAGCACTGCCCCAGGGAGCACTAATGGAATAGCTGGAGGAACTATAATCAGGCAGGATTTCCCTCCAGGCAACGGGGCACCACACAGCACAGTCATTGTTCACTCCAACAGCACCACTTCTCTGGCCTCGCAGTCCTCTTACAGCCTGCTGAGCGCTCTTGAAGGATCTGGGATCACAGGAGGAGGAAGTAACAGAGACAGGGCAGATTATGTGAATTCAGCATTTACTGAGGATGAAACACTGAACCAGTCATTGAGGAATCTGGCACTAGGAGGAAATGATGCATCAGGACTAGTTGTGAAACGCCCACCTCCCTATCAGTGGGACCCAGCAGCCACAGAGGAGGTGTGGGTTCCTCAGGAACGGACAGCCACCCTGAGTCCTGCTGGACCCCCTGGACCCCACAAACCACCTCCACTTATTCTTAGCCCTGCTCAGCACTTAGATGTGTCCAGGCTGCCTTTTGTCCTTTCTCCAAAGTCCCCCACCAGTCCAAGTGCTGCTTCATTTCAAGCTGCTGCAGCAGCCGCAGGATACCAAATCTCTCTCCAGTACCCTCCATCCTCTGCCTATCCTGTGGCCCAGCTACAGCCCATCCAAGGGTCTCCACGCCCCTGCTCCTCCCCAAAGGAGCTTGTTGTACCAGTACCCTTCTCACAGCAGGATGCAACCCTTGTCTTACCGCCTGGTTACCATGCAAACCTGGCAAACCTCACCTGCTGCCCTCTTCCACCCCTGTATCCAGGAGGAAGTTCTTGTGCCGGCCTCCCTATTCCCTCCATTGCCCTCCACACTCCTTGGGGTACATATAACTCTTGCCCTCCTATGTCCAGTCCTGCAGTGCCACTACCACCCAAAGCCTCCCACATGGCAGTAGACAAAAATGTCCTGTCGCCTCCTCCTCCACCCCCACCCCCTCCACCCTCCACCTCCACCAGTAGAGCTGCAGGAGGCCATGGCAGACGCCGGGGAAGGCTTCCAGGAGGTGCTCTCCTTGACCGAGAGCCCTGTCCCACAGCGGTCTGATAAGTTCGTAAAGAAAAACCGCAAGCGAGTGGATGGGCGCGCCGAGGAGGCTAACGTGCCGCCTTTGGCTGAAGGGAGCAAGTCGAAAAAGGAGAGCAGAGCTTTGGGTGATTTCAACTCCCTTATCTCTAGTCCAAGGCTGGGAGGGAGGGACAAGAAGAAGCTGAAGGGACAGAAAGAGCAGCAGCTGAAGGCCAAGAAGCTGAGTAAGGGCACTGCCAACAGTGAGTTCCAAGACAGTTCAGAGAGTGAGCCAGAGCTCTTCATCAGCGGAGATGAGCTGCTCAATCAGTGCCAGAGTGGTAAGAAGGGCTGGAAGAGTAAGAGGAACCTAAGAGCTGCCAATGAGCTGGACGAGATAAAGTGTCGGAAGGCCAACGAGAAGGAGGACCGAGGGCTGGGCAGCCAGGGCTTCGTGTACGTCATGGCGAACAAGCAGCCACTGTGGAATGAAGCCACACAGGTGTACCAGCTGGACTTTGGTGGGCGCGTCACACAGGAGTCTGCCAAGAACTTTCAAATTGAACTGGAGGGCAGACAGGTAAGAGAGCTCTTTGTTCAAAAAATATCCCTCTCTCCACGATATTCATATGTATAGTTATTTGAAACACTGGGATATCTGTATTCATTGTTTTCTTTGTTTGTTTCTCTACACAGGTGATGCAGTTCGGCAGGATAGATGGCAATGCCTATATCCTGGACTTTCAGTATCCCTTCTCTGCTGTGCAGGCCTTTGCAGTGGCTTTAGCCAATGTTACTCAACGCCTCAAATGAGATGTCCCCTCCCTACTTACCCTGAGTTATATCTGGGATTTAAATGCAATCTGTTGGAGGGGCACAGTTGTTTCATTTGAGATTAATAATCTTTGATTTAGAGAGGAGACTTAAATCAGCCCGGGTTCATAGAAAGAGATACAATCATTCTGCACTACACAATGCTGCCACTAGAGTTGGTGCAATAAGCATTGCCTGCATTTGCCAAGGTCGCCCTCAGTCAGTGGCTCCTTGCAATGCATGTAGGGCCAAAGAGCTGAGCTTTGGTAATCATCATGCAAATAAATGCTGCTTTAGCTAGTAGAAGCTTATAGACATGATAACCTGTAAACAGAGAGGAATTGTCGAGGTGCAGTTTTCAAAAGAAGCAGCAGTAATACTTGAAAACCACACTCTGGAGATCACAGTTGTTTATTTCCCAGAGCGCACAGGTACTACTGGGCACTGAAATCCATTGCTGTACAAACTTCAGTGAAACAGTTACCACTTTATTATACTGCTTTTGCTTTTAGAATTTTATTAAATGGCAGAGGGTAGGAGGGTCTTTTTGTTTTTACTCTCTGCCATTCCTTTTGTTACTATCTCAATACTATCTTGGCTGGAATTGAGGCTTAGATATATGCATCATTTAGGAGCACTACTAAGAGGTCACACTTTTCACTGTAGTAAAAGGTGTGTCACTGTTAAACACTTGGGAAGGTCGAGGAGTAAATATAGATGAGTTGAACTGCAGTCGTTTCCACATAGTTTCCTGGGACTTTGAAGGAAGAAGAAATGTTATTCCGCTACATGGATTAATTTAGATGTAATGTACATTTTGTTCTTTATCTATTCAGATATGAATTTTAACGTTATTGTCATTGTTTGTGATATCCAATCTTCATACCCTGTCAACATTGTTTTCAACTTACCTGTTTTATTTGGGAGAACTAGGGGCTGAATTTGAATATTGCTGTGTAGTCCAGAGTAATTCAAGAGGGAGGGGTGTACTGAATAGCTTTGACTGATATATCCTGTACTTAGGGAAATACCTACATACGGTGACATTGTCGTAAAAGAAGTCGCCAGGCCTGGATTGAACAACTTAACCTCTGGCATGATGTGATTTGTCACCTGCTGCCACTTCTGTGAAGTGAGTGTGTAGTTTGCTCCTGCTCTTCAAATAACACACTAAACATACAAGCAAGGTACAGGAATTATTTTTGTATATTTCACCTATGCCATTTCATACTCTTTTCAGAAGTCATGTAAATACATATCAGTCGTGATGTAAATGTTGTAAAGAGACTTGGGTGACTTTGACAGATGTCTGTTTATGCCTGTCTCCACTGTGTTTTAAGTGTCATTTCAGGTGTGGAGCGTCGCTGTAGTACTGTTCAGCTCAACAGCTACAACCACAAACAGAAACAAGTTATGACTTAAGCTGAAATCATTGTCACTGAATCTTTGAAGTCAGAACTCCAATGAAGGATGAAGCTATTGAAATCTGTTCATTTAGAAAGCTGACACTAATATCTGAAAAGCTGTTTTTTTCTTTCTTCTTTAAGGCAGTCCCGCTTGTCTTTGTGTTGAACTAAGAACACAGAGCAAGATAGGAGCATGGGCAGTCAATTATTAGCCACATTGCCAAAATAAATAAATAGATTTTTATCAATTTAAAGGAATACTTCATCCTCAAACTGATCATTTGTGTATAACTCAAACATGTTGACCTTGAAAGCTTGAAGAAACAACAATAAATCGTAAATAGTAATTGATGTACAAATGATTATTACGGGGTTGAAATATTCCTTAAAGCTGGTAGCCAAACAAAAAAGGGCAGTAATATTGGGTAGGTGAGATCATATTCACCTTTAACCTTTGTGCCAAAATATCCATTTGCTAAGATTTATAGTAAAAAAAATGGGCCTAGAAGAAAGTGTAACTTGATATAAAGAAATGTATAACTTTGGACCAGCTATGTTTTGGTCTTTGAATTGATGAGATTATTAAATTCTTTAGTGTGAGCTTTATTTATCACAACCAGATGCATGTCTGTCAGAGGGGGTGGGGGCTGTAGGGATGGGGGATACAATACATAATTAAAAAAGTCTCTTCTGATCCAAAAAAAGAACATGAGCATGTCATGAAGAAAATATCCATTTTCTGTGTTAGTTGTGCAATATTTTCTTGGGAGGGGGGGTCCTTTGTTATCAATTTTGACCACAGTTTGATACCATTCTTTTAGTTCAGCATCTCAGTTGCATTTTATTTATGAGATTATTTCCTGAAGGAGATATAGTATCTATACATACTGTATATTGTGGAGTTTTCTGAACATTTCTTTGTGTTGAGAAAACAGGTGGTTACAAGTGTAGCCCAGACGATGAGATGGGGTTTGGTCGGGGGCGGGGTTTGGGTTCGGGCAAGTTTTCTGTGTTTTGTGAAGTTTGCTTTGGATGGAAAGATGTGAATGAGTAAGTGCCCAGTTTAGTGTAGTTGGTAGACTAGTTATGTAGAGTGTAACTGTTAAGTCAAGGTGTGTCTGTATTCAACTGTGCAGTCTACCAATCCCATCAGTGTTAAATCTATTATCTTTAAACGTGTGTGTTCATGGCTTCTTACACATACATACACACATCATTCACTCACAAGTGTAAACCACTGAGTTCATGTTCAGAATTGCCTCGATGGACTTAGGTTAAGGATTCACTTTAAACGGATTTTACGAGATGACCTGTTGTAGATATTGTAGGATTTGGCTTTTCTTTAGAAAAGGTATGTGCTTTGTATTTGTAGTTGTAGACTTAAATGACAAAAACACTTGAAAAGAATCTGAGTCTGATTTGGTGACTGAACGTTTATAGTGAATGGATAGTAAGGCATGCCATGTAAATTATTTTATAATTGTATATGTCACGCATCTTTTGAATAAAACGTCATTGTTTCCGAAATAAGATGTGTCCTGTCTCTTAAATATATTCAGTATTATGTTGAATTTATAGATGGGATTATTGTTACCCTGCCAGCTATTGGACTAGAGTTTACACAAGGTTGCTCTATTGTGTCAAACAACAAACATGATATTTCATAACAGGAAAAGCACAGGTGGAGGACTAAGGCAACTAAGCTCAAATTCCCAAATATATTATGGCCATGCATGTCAGACAAACCTGACAACGTGGACTCGAGTAAATTACTTTTTCACAATTATGTTTTATAGTTTTAAGTCATAGTCATACTTGTGAAAAGGAGTCTAATGTCTCACAATTTAGCTTTCTATAGCTAATATTTATGAAAGAAACTGTAATAATTACAAACAAATGTGTAAGAATTGTATGTTTTTGCTATGATTAACCATCATTTACTGGGTTTCTACTTCTGCCTATGTTCTGCATACGTTTCTGTGTTTTACTTTGACTGTAATTGATATGCATTACATCATTATTATTTTTTTTTTAAAAAGCTACCTTGCTTAGTCTGGCCTATTTATGCACTGTCTTCAAGAATGAACCTGAATAAATACAAACAAAAAAACTAAATTAGGGATCTCCACACCCTGACTAGACACTAATTTGGGTTTAGATATTTAAAAATATACTCTATATGCTTTTATATTTGGAGTAGCCTATGTAAAGGTAGTAACTAATGGTTGGTTATAGACAAAAGGAAGCTTATGAGTGGAGGACTAATATTTGGATAAACCCATGATAAAGATGTGTGTGTGGTGTCTCTGTCCGCGGTGCTGAACTCTGATCACGTGATCCTCCTCCCGTGTGTTTCCGCCCTCTCTTCTCCTTTTTTTTCTTCCTTTGAACCAACACAAACAAAAAAGCTTCGGCTGCATTTTCAATTAAACGGCGTTAACAAAACAGCCATCATTGTGCTGCTGTCCACAGGCCTTGGTTTGTTTTCCCCTTCGCCATTTTCATCCGGCAGACGGCTCGGTGTTTCATAATGGACGCAGACTACTCGTCCAGCCTGGAGAACCCTCTGTACAGCGAACTGAAGTACTTCTGCAGGAAGATCCAGGAGGCCTACCACGAACTGAAGGAGGACCTGACACCTTTCCGGGATGATCGCTTTTACAGGTGGCTCTCCTGTTTATCTACTCACACAATGGAGGATCAATTTCCCCCTGCATTACAGAAGCAAATATGTTTGGCTTTGTATGCTGTGACAGGATTTAACAACCTGCACCTTCCAACAATAAGCCTATATATTGTCAGCCTCTCTGGTGATTATGGTTGATGCTAACGAGATGTGTTCATTACTTATTATGTGGATTTATATATATTTCATAATCTCGTTAGTTTATATTTTAGATGGTGCAGACTAAAGGGAAATAGCAGTCCTCAAATGTATTCATTAAAAAAAGGTAAATATGTGAATACTTTGCATTAGACACATTCTCAGTATCAGTATTAATATTTGACAATCTCACATTTATAAGGGGTAAAGAGGCCTTTGGATTCCTATCAATGGCAACAAGTGAAGGGATTGTATCTGCATTAGCTGGTGGTGAATAATAATAGGCCTTTTTAAAAAAAAATGTTTTAAATGTTGTCGTTAAAATGTAAAGACTAATTAAAATAATTAAAGTAACTAGCTCATTAATTCTTTTTTGTTTTTTGCTTGACGTTAACGTATGACGTGGTCGCATGCTGCCTGTGACTCTCTCACGTAGGACGTTCATCTCATGTTGTCAACAGATATTTAAAAAGAAATGTTCCTGTGCCTCAACTTTTCTGACATTATCAGCACTAGGGAAAAATTAAAGGACGTTTCCAAATGTAAAATTAACATTTGATATGGTTGGATGATTTAAGCCATGACAGAACATTTGAGCAACATACATCATAAATCTGTATATGTCTACAAGCCAAATACCCCTTACTGATTTGTCACATAGACTTTGTAAACATACGTTTTCAAAAATAATTTACCAATAAAAAAAGCTATAACATGTGTAAGGGTAATGTATTGCCTGTAAAGTATAATAATAATAATAATAATACATTGGATTTTTATAGCGCTTTTCCTATTGCTCAAATACGCTTTACATAAAATCAGAACAGAAACAGTACAAACGAGTTTGAAAACTAGAGTGAATAAGTGAGTTGTGTATGCAAATCTAGATAACAAACTGTACCTCAAATATTCCTTTTATATTTTAGCAATTTTTTGGTTTTTTATGGCTTTTTATGTTCTCACTTTCTTTTTTTTGTGACCAACTTTTTCTTTTGCCCTCACAAAAGGGATTTATATGCATGGCATACATATCATGTTCACATAGGATATTTTTTGTTTTACCAATCTTTTTGAGGGACATGAACAATATGTTCAATGAAAATACGACCATCGACATACTACAAATATTTAAAACGTATTTTTGCAGAATAAAACTAGTCCACAAATACAAATATAACCTTTATATCTAACCTTAGAGCAGCAGCTTTAAATCGCGACCGCTTCTTAGCAAGTCCCTCTGAAAAGGAAAGCCCCTGTCACGTGATGCAGGCCCCTCCCCTTTGATGACGTTGCATTCCAGTAGTCTACGCCGGTCGTCGCAGGCTGATGTTGATACACGGACTACACGGATGTGGATTCACTACCACATTTTAACGTTTTTTCTCGGTATTGAGACTGCGAACCGACAGAAATGGAGCTGTAAGTGTACGCTTTGTTCAGCGGATACTCCCGGGATTTGTCCCCGGTGTTTTATATGTGTGGGAGACCCTGTAAGACATCACTATGTAGCTGTTTTCTGACATCTGTTACTGCTAGCATAAACTAGCATGGACGCTAGCAGTGTTGACACATCCGAACCTTAATCCTTAATTAACCACAAAATAAACATTAGCTTTTTTGTGTTCTCTAACCAATGTCTTCCTATGACAGATTGGCCCCCATGCGGCTCTACACCCTGTCCAAAAGACATTTTGTCTTGGTCTTCGTTTGCTTTCTGATCTGCTTTGGCCTCACAGTCTTTATTGGGATTACAGGTATGTCTAATATAAACATGTCTGCAATACTGTGGCCCAAACTGGGTGTTGGTCACAAGTCATTTTAACACAGGTTTTTAGATACAAGAAAGAAAGTCCTTCTGCAATCAAGCATGATGGCACAATCAAAATTGTATTTTATTTGTATCACTACAATGCTTATTTCTGGATAGTCCAGTAGTTCAGATTGTAAAGAATGTGTCATGTACATGTGTTGCTTTTTTGTGTAGGTCCTAGGACTATTGCTGAGCAAGAGCACAATGGTGATCAGTTGGTTCTCAAAAACTTCTCAGTTAAGGTAAAAGTCAATCTGATGTATTGGGATGTTTTGTTATCATTACATACATTGTTGTTTACCCTGGGATTCATTCCGCTTTAAATGAATTTGAAGCCTTTACGTTTTGTGTTAAAAGAAAACCTTTACGTTTTGTGTTATGTTACAAGCAAACACGTCTAACTACTGGGATAACATGTGTAACATCCTGTGTGTTTAATGACTTGAGTATCCTTTTTAATGATGTCATTCATTGTATGTTTACAGACCGGGCCCTTCAATCTAGTTTCTTCTCCGCTCACCACCTACAACCAGCAGCTATGGCTCACCTGTTTGATACAGGCTGAACACAGCAATAGTAAGAATGAGCTACAGATGTTTAACATGAGCGTAAAATGTCCAGCACATATGACACACCTCAAAAAGCTTCCTTTTTATTTTGCAAGCATGACTGGCTTTTGTTAACAACAACATGTTCTGTCGTCTGTGTCAGTGGGAGACTTCCAGCAGCCTTTAGAAATCAATGTGGAGCTGAAGGGAGTGATGCAGGACGCCAGCGTGATTCACATCAACACCGCGCACCAGAAATCACGAACGCTACACTGCGGGGCTGTAAGTGACAATCAGGAAACCCAGCCTCCTTCCTCTCTCACAGTATGCTCGTTTATCATTAATCATTTAGTCAAGCAGCAGCAGAGCGAGTTTATGAAATGTCATCTATGATATGAAATGAAGTTGCAATATAGTGGTGAGTGCTGTTGGATATACAGTGAACATACAGTTAGATTGTTGATTGAAAGGGAAGTGACGCAGCGTTTCCTGTCTCCTTACAGAAATGTGATGAGATCATTGTGCTCCATCTTGGCTATCTGAACTACACCCAGTACCAGGTTATGGTCAGCTTCAAAGGCCTTGAAAATATCACGTATGAAATCAAGGTCAAGTTTTCGGTAAGTGAAAGACACTGACAGGATTCTTCTTCCAGCTCATGAAAACAAATTCTGTGATATTGTTTCTGCATACTATTTGATATACTTTTACTTTCATTAAGGCTTGAGCTCACATTTCAACACGGCCTCTTTTACTCCTCTGTTTCTTTCTCAGTGGAAAACGTACAACCCCACCTTCTCGCAAGTGGAGATCTGGTTCCGGTTTGTCTTTGTGGTGTTAACCTTCATGGTGACGGTAAGAGCAAATGTGCATTTTTATTTATATCACATAACCAATATTCCAGGTCACCAAAGCTTGGCAATGAAAGATAGCCAACTAGCGTAAATCAGTGACTTCAATCAATGTTTGCCTAACGCAGGACTAACATTTCTTTCTCTGAATGTTGCAGTGTATGTTTGCACACTCACTGAGGAAGTTTTCTATGAGGGATTGGGGCATAGAGCAGAAGTGGATGTCTGTCCTGCTTCCTTTGCTGCTACTCTACAACGGTGAGCTTCAGCATTCATATTTGACCCTTAAAACACAACCTGTACAATCTGGCTTCCCCATTATATCACCTTTTTCAATCATTGCAGCTGCAACTTTTAATCTGCACAACCAAAGAGCTGTGTTTTAATGTGTCAACTGCAAATGTTTATCAGTCTTATTCATTGTAAAAGAAGTCCTACTTAAAGGTGGGGTGCGTTTCTAATTGTGTTTTGTTGCTTTTGTTGTTCAGATCCATTTT